CTGTACAAAATGCAATATTTAAATTGAGAACATTTCCAAAACCCCTCCCAATTTGAAAATTGAATTAAAATAACAGATAATCTATTTGTGTGATGAGTAGAAATAAGAGCTTGCACTATCCCAATTTCAGCCCAACTAAACACGTCAACAGCTGGTTTATAGCATGAATCTGTATAAAATCCAATATTTAAATCGATTGAAAAACAGTCAACCTATTTCTTGACGAAAAGACTAACTCAATCTGATACTATCAACTCTTTCTTTTCAGTAATCAACTTCCTGTCGAAAAACTAAATAACAAAAGAATAATAACAAATAAATGTGCTTGAATTAAAACGAAATAGAAGAAATGTAATTCAAAAACAGACCAATCTATATCTCTTTGATACGGATCAATCTGCTAGTCGAAGGTGTGAGAATGGAGTGTGTGGGTATAGGTGTGAGTGGATGTGTGAGTGTGGAGTATGAGTCTTATTCTTCTCTTCGTCAACACGCCATATCCACATCCCACACCCACGCTTCGACTTCGTCTATCGTTACGTTATTCTCACCTTCAAGTTTTCAATTCAAATCAGGTTGTTATGAATTCACAGCTGAACGAATCACCAGATTATTAAAAACCGATTTATCAAATTATAAAGTGATTAAAAACGCAATAAGTAATTTGTCTTCTATTCGTTGGCCGCTTTTCGGTCTTCCGACCAAGAAATCAAATGCAGACGAAGACTTTGAACCAATGCCGAATTTCGTTAGTTGTGATTTACGGGTGTGGGTGTGGATGTGGATGCGGATGTGTGGGTGTGGGTGTGTGGGTAGAGTGCGGGTGTGAGTCTTCTTCTCAACCACACACCCATATCCTCCCACACACACCCCACATTTTTCCTGTCGATAATTTTCCTTTATACATTTTTCTTTCGATATGTTTCCTTTCAACATTTTCGTTCTTTTTCTTTCGACATTTTTCCTTTCGGCGTTAGTACGGCACACCGTCAAATTCATTGTATACCGGCTTCCTCTGCAGTTGTCGAACGGCAGTTCAGTGGGGCTGGCCTCGTAATCAATGAACGTCGAACAGCATTAGATCCTGATCAAGTAAATAACATTCTATTTATTCGTTCAAATGGACAATATAAAACTTGTTCAATTATTTGAAATTGGAATTTTTTAATACGTTGATTTATGTTTATTTCTTTGCAGTTATTTTTTATATTTAATGAAAAATTTTAATTTTTCATTTGTTACTTATTTTTTCTACTTTGTAAAATGTTGTATTTAAAAAAAGAATGATGCTTCATTGTAAATTAGAAGAAAAGAACTGGAGTTCACATAGTGGATTTCATTGTAATAAAATTTTGAAATATGGCATGAAATTATATGACATTTCATAGTTCCAGTCGATCAGTATTAGTTAAATGAATTTAACTTCTTAAAAAGTATTTGACGATTGAGACGTCTCATGAGATGGGATGAAAATGTTTTTTTCAGTTGTCCCATCCCGTGGGACAGATTATAATCGTTTGACCCATGAGATGATAGTTTTCGTCTCATCCCATTCCACGCGAAGCCCTGATTGGGAATGTTGACATGATTTATGACAGGATAGAATTTGATATGTATTTGCTACAATGAATGTTGGAATAAACCTGAGAAAATTGTTACTTGATATAACAGATGGCATTTTTCGAAAAAGAAACTTTTTATATATTGATTCATATACTATAATAATAAGAGACCTGTACTTTCCTTAAGGCAACAACAATTTTCAGTCTTAGAAAATTTTCCAAAACGTGCACATTGATGTTTTAAGAATGATGACCGTACTATTTATCGATAGTATTTGTAAAAGTTCGACTGTAACGTTTCTCGAAAGCCTTATTATGATCGATTAAACTTTATTAATCAATTCTCATCGAATGAATAGAATTGAGACTGTATATTTATATCCATAAAACAAAATTGATTTTATCGTTTAATATCTTCAAATCATTGTTACCCAATAATTATTGAAAAACGTGATAATTTAACGAGAACATCACTAAACACTTGTTGATTCATGGAAGTTACTCATATTATCCAAACTACTCGAAAACTGCCGGTTAACCGCTGTTCTTCTGCTTCAATATTTTAAATATCTCACTGCATGAATACTTTTAAACTCTTAGAACAATATTAGATTCCACTTGAAATGGCGTCTCTTTCAAAACGTGAAGGCGCTCATGCTATCTGTACTAGGCTCATCGGCTATTATCGCTTAGCGTTCAAGTTTGTTTATTAAGTAAAGATGATGCAACAACTGTAGTTCTGCACCACGAGTCAAAAGTCTTTCAAGAATCCGTCCTTTTTTAATAGATTTCAATATTTTTTTTGTCAAATTTATGTTTGATTTCAAAATTGATATGAGCACTTTATTATAATACAACGTGTAGTGATCATTTGCTTTAATCAACTGTTCTATACGTATTTTCATGCTATCGACCAATTTGGCAGCTAAATCAGTCGACAAAGTCTTCTGTCTTCTCCTAAGTTGTTCTGATTTTTTTATGGACTCGACCCAATCAAATTCGAACAACAATCATGTATAACATATAGATCAATATCGAGCGTTCACTTTTTTCCTTTTATTTTGAGTGCAACATACTGTATGTGACTTTCAATGTCACAACGTTACGAAATTGGTTTTCTTGAACTTCATTCCATGAACTCCGAAATGTCAAACCAAGGTATGTCAAAGTATATTGGTTGCGACCGAAAGGCCATATGATATTAGTTAGATCGTTGGTAGAAGGAAGAAGATCTCTCCGATTCTCCATGAATAGGTCGACCAAGTAATACATCTAAGAAAAATGATTCAAAGATCATTATGATAGACAAACGCAAGCAAGACGTCACATCGAATGGTTTCTCCAATATTCTGAAGAAAGATAGCGTGAATATTGACGCAAGAAGTGGAAGACCTCGATTGCGCGTGAATGGTGACACTTACGGACTACCTTTGGCAAAGCCACGATTTGAGAAAGAAAATCGGGAAAGACAATTTTTTATGGACAGACTAACACGAGAATTTCAATAGAGACAATGTCATTTTTACTAGTGAGAAAACCTATGGAATTAAGATTGAACGAAAAGAAGGATGGCAATATCAGAAGTGTTACTAAAACTATTCATACTTGAAAGCACTTTAATAAGCTGCATGTATGGGGCTATTTTCCAAAACAAGGTTTTGGAGAACTTATTCCATTCGAGCACAAGTTGCACAGAGATTTTATGTGGAATATCTATGAAAATGGCCTTCTTCTTACACTCTAGCATCATTTTACAGAGGGACGATGATCCTTAGTATAACATTTCGATGGAAAACAAATGAAAGGATGACTATCAATTCCAAGTCTCACCCTGGTCTGCCACATCAGCGGATCAAAGCTCAATAGAAAATGTTTGATCGATAGTAAAATGTCGAATAAGGGGTGAAAACATTCAAATGGTTCGTGTGTTGCAGCAAGAAAAAAATGGAATCATTTGTCGACTAATTTGGCTGTCGAATTGGTTGATATCATGAAAATACTTTAGAACTGTCAATTAAAGCAAATATTGACGACACGTTATATTAAAATAAAGTGTTCATGTCAACCTTGAAATCGAAAATGAATTGGATAAAAAATATTGCAATCTATAAAACACAGAGATTGTGATACGCTTTTGCTCACTGCTCTAGATAAAAGTTTAATTTTGCTACGACTTAAATAGATTGAGATCGACTTTTTTAAATACTTGACATAGGCTATATAAACGAAAAATGCAATAATTTTCAAAAATATATCATAATAACCATTGGATAAAAGTGAAAACGCTGTGGAGAAAGAATATATGACAGATATGAACAAGATCATTATAGTTTTACAGACGTCTAGAAATCAGCACACGATGGCTTTAACTCATAAACTCATATAACTAAATAAAGACAAGTTATTTGACAATACAAAAAAAATATTGTATCATCAAGCAGCATCACAAAAAACTTGATCAGCTGTGGACTTTGTAAAAAAAAAACTTGAGCCTAATTCAATTTAAAATGAGCCACAAAACGAAGTGTCTCTGTTAGAAAAACCTATCTGAACTCCAACTATTTCGTATACTATAAAGCGTATAGAATGACAACATCTGATTGAGCTCAAATTTTTATCCAATATTTCTCCATATGTAACCTAATAGTAGCCATCGAATCAACCTGTGAAATGTCTTCGTAACTATATAAGAGACCCCCCAAAATTCTATTTTAAGCATCCATATTATACTATGAAGAAACATTAATGTGATATACAGAATGAGCATATTAGACTACGTCAAATGATACAGAACTCAAAATATTTTTCAAAAAATACTCTTCGAAAAACTATGGGCAGAATCCTATAGATATTATTTTTGAAAAACATTTACTTGTTAAAAATGATTTTCTCGGTGATATACGATCATTTATGACGAATTGAAAGTTGTTTGTCCATCTGTTTAATCAAAAACCTCTTAGTGTGTGGTTTTCTGCCGGTTGTGTCCAATCAAAAAAGATTTAACTATTCTAACTGTGGTCGGAAACAAAATTTATGGAAAAAAAAAGTTATACAAAGTTCGATGAATGATCATACATAGATAAAAGCATTCTTTATTGATTTTAATCAATTATCTCTGATGTAGATATGCGAATTATGACTTTCATCTTCAATGTTTCTTCATAATTATATCATCATACAACAGTACGCCAAGCGATATCATATCAGTTCTATATGTTGTGATCACTCTATTAATTTGATTATTCTTTAAATATTTTCCTGAAGTCAGGACTCAAATTTTTCAGAAAATATTACTTTTGATTTGTTCCAAATCTAGTCAAACTCATCAGACTTCTCGTAAGGATCTAAGTACAGTAACCTTTGACTTGTATTGTTATAGAAAATGAATTCAAAAATGAATATATGTAATCTAAGAAAAAGGAAGCCTCACATATTTTTTGTAAAAGTAAAATAGAAAACATAGTCGTCATGGACACTTATATTATGGGCACTATTGATATATCAATGATGATAGCATTCTCATTCGTTATCTCAATTCGTTTTTTCTCTCATACCTATCCCTAATATCTTTGTTTTTTATTTATTTTATGTTTATCTCTATCTGATATTCAAGTTTTTCTTATGTTTAAGACGTACACAACTTGAGATACGAAGTACCATAATGAATATTATTATCTACATTGACAGCAGTACTATTTTGACTGATGATCAACATATATCTCTGAATAGAATAAAAAGGCTGCTGTAAAAAATAGCAGAAAATAATTGTTAAACGACGGTTCTAATAGATTTTTATTATGTATCACAATGAATCGATTCGTTTGTTCACTTATTTCCAGAAGTTATATTCATAATGTTAATGAAATATGAGGACAGCTTTAACTATATTTTATTCTATTTAGTAAGTATAAGAGACTGATATTTGTCATGGAACATTATCTCAAAGTATAAAAAATTGTTGTATTCAACAAGTTATCGATCAGGAAAAGATCTTCGACATTTATTTTTGAGATTTCTAGGGAAGAAAGAAATAGGAAATGAGAAGCTACAAAAAAAAGTGAAAAATTTAATATGATTAAACTATTGAGTAAACCATATGTTGGGTTGTTGAGTGGCAAAAGATCTTCTGACATCAATGAGTGTAGCCAATTTGAAGGAAAATTTAATAATGATTATCTAGAAAATAAAATAAGTATAATATTAATAAAAATGAATGAGATAAAATAGTTACTGTAAGCACCAGACGAGCAATGCAAGCAAGAACAATTGCTAAGATACCTATTGAAACACCTAGCGTAAGAGTCTGGCTCTTATCATCATTAGAAAAGTTTCCGGTAGCTGAAGCAGCGATACCAGCAAAGAGAAGAAATACAATTAAAATAGCCATCGTAATCAGTATAATTATACTCAGCCCAGCAAACTAAAGATAAAACAAGAAAATTTCACTTTTAATAAGAATATTTTATTGTACGAATTTTGATGGAACATGTTGTTTCAGCTTTTTTCAAGAAATTTCGAATATCAATGCGTATATGTAAGATCTCGAAACAGCTAAAACTGTCAAAAGTCGGTTTTTGATAGATTTTTTTTTACTGTGAACCATGATCTTATCATTTTGAAATTCATTAGTTTTGTCCATAGTTTCGACTTCAATAAATAACAAAAATTAAATCAATAGAAAGTTTCTCGTCGAAAATGATTTCGATATAACTTTGTATTAATATATATGTACACAAATAGTTTTGCTTACAATCTTTTAGAGAACAAATATAAATTGTAAGACAAATGAAAAACAAATAGAGATCAACCGAGATATAGCACAAGAGAAAATCACTAATCAACTAATTGTTGCACTGTATTTCTTTATAAGACTTCTGACAAACTTTTGAATTGCATTGCTAAATGTATGAATGATTCCTATCTACTTAATGTCAGACATTTCAAATAGATCATTCAATTCTATCAATCAATTTTATATGAATATCAATCGTTTATCAAAAAACATCGAATAACTTCAATAACATAAAACTATTTGTAAAGTTAACAGGAAAAGTCATTGTTCGTTTCATTCAAGTGCTTAGATCAGAATACTTTCAACAGATATGTTTTCGAAAGAGATTTTTGAGGTATATTTATAATCAATAACTCATGATTAGAAAGTATTTCATTCATTATTTATTATGTTTAAATCGATGAAAGATTTGTTCTAAAAAGTTTTTAAAGTTAAAAGAAACTTGACTTGCTTCAAACATTATTATAAGAACTTTTCATTTAATAAAAGCTAACAGACAAAACATACCACTCGTAATCCAGTTTCATAATATCGATAAGCAACGAATATTCCAAATCCATAGAAAAGAACTGAAATAAGAGATTGACCAAATTGCATACCACCATGAGTCTCTTTTATACCATCTCCAATTCGATTTCCATAAATTGCAGTTATTGTACTGATCAGAGAAAGAGCCTGAAAGATAATATATACATAATATAAAATGAAAAAGACATCCTTCGAATATACAGCGATCAATGCTGAAAAGTTCTCTAAGAGTAAGAATATTATTAAACAGAGACTATTAGGAATCTAGTTAGACTATGAAATGATTTGATTTAGTCAAATTATCTTTTGATTAGTCTGAAGAATGTTGATTTTAATGTTCACTTTGGCACATGTAGATTATGTTGCAACAATTGAAACAAATCTCTCTTATTATCTTACGTTATTTTATATCTCGATTCGAAAATGTTTAAAAAGATATTTCTCTTCTCAAATTACGTAAACATTGACCTTTATTAGTTCCTCTTACTGAACCTGCATAACATTCGTAGTTTTAAATATTTTTTTTTATTTTTATTTTTTTTTTTCGTAATTAATTTGTTTAATGTGTTTTTATTTATTAATAGTTATTCTCAGCACCCTTTTTTTCGGAAACCTCTAGCACAAAAATAATTTGCTTTGAAAATCTTATTTGAAAATGCTTTAAACAATCTGTTTTTCTTGTTCATATAATACATATTAGCTAACTGTTATAGATTTCAAATAAAAGAAAAAACAATATTTTTTTTTGTTATTACTGTCGGATCATAATAAAAATAAAAATAAAAACTTACAAGTAAAATGCCAAGTATGATCAAAAGAACTTTGCGAGTTCGTTGTATTTTAAGATCTCCAGTCATTGACAATAATTGAGGAACAGGCATATTAGAACCACCAGTCATAACCACTTTGCTAATTCCTTGTTCACTTTGCATTTCAATACTGTCTAGTTTAGTCTTTAAAATAAACGCAGGAGGTTAATAGAATGAACTGATTATCCATGCGATCAGAAATATAAAGTTAACCCATTACAACAATAAGTATTTCTCTGTGTTTTAACTCGTTGTACAAAGTTTAAAATGTCTACAATTTAACATTTCAAATAATACCCTCTTCTTGAACTTCAAACTCGTTATGAGAATATTTAAAAAAAGATTGTTTTTTGCATAAAAACATGAACATTCATAAAATCGGAGATTTTTCGCTGTATAATTCTCGTTTATATGGAGAATGTTTTAATACATTTAACATATGATAAGTTTCTGCATTTTTACAAATAAATTACTGATAAAAACATGAAATTCTAGACATTTTTACTGTATACGCGACATTTGAAATTGTCGTGCAACATTTCAATACATAAAATAATGCTGATAAATTTACTTAGGTGATGGAGGTATGACGGAATCTGTGGAATCCGTGTCGGTTTCCAGCAGTTAGATCCAAAATCTGTTCTAATCATTGTTCTCAGTAGAATTTCTGACTATGGATACGAATGGAATCCTTTAACATTCTCTTATATTCTTTACTTTTCAACCTCTTGAAAATCATCATCACACATCTCTGAAGGGAGCATTTTTTATTATTTTCAAGATTAAAATACTCAATTTTCTATTTGCTGCGTTCTAAACTTCATCGAACAGTTGCATATGGATGTTTTCAAGTTATTATCAAGCGAATCCTTTTCTAGTTTCGCAGAATTTCCTACGATTTCTAGAGATTTTCTAGCAAGATCTGGACTGTAAGTTAGCAGACATAGTCAGAATCAATATCCTGGGTGCTCATGAGTAATTACAGTGTATATAACTAGAGGTTTCAAGTAATGGTAACTTGCAGTTTGCAATAATAATAATTAAGACGATTCAATTAATATTGATCAATAAAAATATTAGAAATTGAAGAGTATAGAAACATTGTAGAGGATTTGAAATTCTTTGAAATAATAATTAGTGTTAGCCAACAGTTCCAGTTATCCGCCGGAACCATACTCATTATAGAAGTTAGGGATTTGACATTTGCTCATAATTCGTAGATATCGTAAAGTATATCCACATAAAATTTCAGCTATCTAATTCCTATAATTATTCCCGTTCAAGTAGAAGTCAAAAATTTAGACCAGTACTCTATTTATTGCTATGTGAATGTGTGTGTTGAAACTGCAGTTTTGGAAAGAAATCATTCTAGGATTTTATTTTAACCTTAAAATAACAAGAAAAAAATCTGTTCACAAAGAACAAAAGATGACTCGATCATCTTCTTTCTCTCGTATGAAATAAATTACAAGAACAATTATTCTCAGACTCTACATATTGATTATTTACATTGATATGATAATGAATGTATTCTTCAAATAAATATCAATTCCCAAACACTTTCTATATTCTTTCATTTGTGAATTTTCTATGATTCAATGTTATCTTGAGAAGCTTATTTATTAATAAAACAAAAAGCATCTTAACTATGACTGAAATATCAAAATATGCACATTATAGTCATAGATTATCAATACTAATGACCATCTTATTGTATTAGGCTATATCAATATATTGGTTTAGACTCGAACGTAATATGAATCAATAAGCTATTAAAATTAATCATTTTTTGCTAGTCGAAATATTCTTTATCGATTTCTGTTTATATTTTTAGATATTTTAATAAAATGAACAGAAACAAAAAGAAAAGTAAACTAATCTCATTTTTTTTGTATGTGTATAAATTGAAGTATGTTTCATTGTTTAGTCTACAATAGATACAATGTCGCAACTTTTCAATAAGAATTTGAAAGATTTGTGAAGATGATTGTATGCAGAACTGTCACTATATTTGTTATTTCAGTTATCTATAATCAATGAATGTTCTTGTTTATACAATGATATAGGACTATTTGAATGGAAATAAAAATTCATCAGCAGAAACTAAGAGAAAAAATCTAAACCATTTGGAGTTCTTCCAGTTCAAAAATAGGTTCCTCTGACTGAACTAACCTACTTATTATTGAGCATGTTACCGAACGATTAGTGAATATGAATAAAAGTCAAAAAGAAAGAAATTATTCAAGCGCAAATAAGAAAGAACGGTCTATATATATATATATATAAAGTGATAACGATATGTGTCGATTGAACGAAGGATACAAAATAATGAATGGATGACGACAGCTCGTTCTTTCTCTCTCAATATTTTAAAAAGAATACAAAAAAAAGACAAAGAACATTTATGCTATTGGTGAACACTATCAATAACAGAAATGTATTTAGATTTTGTTAACATAGGTCAACATAAGGTGCATTATATACATACGACACATACAAATGTTCAATTTTTTACTTTCATCTTTAAGAAATATTGTTCTCTAGAAAATTAAGACAAACGGTGAACTAATATGAGATATTATGCTCAATTGATTAATCATGATCATTCAAAATTTATACGATAATATTATAAGTTGAATATGTTTTAAAAAACTCTAAGTGTCTTTGAAAATAATGTTTTATTTAAATTGAAGAAAAACAAATAACGAAACATTACTGAGTGTCAAAGCTGTTTTCAACCCTGACTATATGCATCATGTTAGTTTAAATGATCTATCAGTAATCTGAAAAGAAATCGGATTACTAATTTATGATTGCCAAGACACTGTATTTTAACCTTAAGGAGCTTGTTAGGACCTTTCTATGTTGCGGTACATCCACAAAACATTCTTTTACTTATACATCTAGAACTGGAATCAGAAAGTAGATTATTTAATATGATATGATGTTCTTGATATATGTTACTTGATCTTGTATCAAGAACATCTTGCACAGTCCGTCCGTGACCATGTCTCAGAGTGTCTGTCATGCTCATCAAGAGGTCAATAATTATTAACTAATGAAATGTTAATAAGCTGTCACTAGATAGTTAATTAAAATGTCTGTCACGTTCTGTGGGGAGAGGAGAGTGAACCCAATATACTACCCTATATACTTCAACACTTCTTTAAGATTGTGTTTCCCAATAGTTCTAGATCTTTTGGTTGCTTCTACCCTAACAGACGCCGTGACTAAACAAAAACTTTAATAATATTCTATTCTCATTAAAGTTTGTCTCTATGAAAAGTTTCAAGTCGAAATTTGAAACTCAGCTTAGCTGATATTCTTGATGAGAGCAATGATATTCTGATAAAAGATACAGTAAAACTAATGTATCCCGGCAATAGTGACCTATTAAACTGATCTCTTTTCAGGGTATTCATTGCTTTCTTAGTGCCTGCATGATGTACATAATCATAACTCTTAAATGATTTAATACTTAGCAGCGTTATCTCGTTAGATATTTTTGTAACAGAAAATAAAAAAATAAAATTTTGATTCATTTTTCTGAGTTATTTATTTTCTTGTTTGAATCTGATTTTTCCATTAAAGTGAGAAATTATTTAGTTGTATCATTAATCCTGTAAGAACCTACTCGTTTTAATATAAAATATTGATTTTTTTAAATAGACCAATTTGAAGAAAATTCAATAGAATAAAATAAATGCAATTACAGTGATGTATTGTATTTTATATTTTCATTTAAAAACTCGTGTTTGATTTGAAGCTTTAATATTTTCGACTACAAAAATTCTTGAAATATAAATACATGAAAATTAAACCTTTTTTTTTTTTAACTGTACAAAGTAAATTTCTTTAATACTGGAAAATATTAGTGAATCATACTTGTCAAATTCGACAGAAACAAAATCAGTATCACGTCTTTTAATGATTTATCTCCGTCAACTAAAGAATTACAATTGCAAAGAAAAACATTTAATTAATTAATGAGAACATTATTCAAGAAAGATATGAAATTTTGCAATTTGAAGTAGTATTGATAATTTCATGATATAGTTACTAAAGAAAAAAAAACAATAAATCAAAAGCTTTATCATTGATATGCATTATATTAATGAGTAAGTTGACTTGTCTTGTATTTTCTAAACTTGACGGAATGAAATCTTCATTTTATCGAATGAAAGCATTTGTATTATACATATAAAATTCTCTTTTAGGAAAAGTTCAATATAAGAAGTAACATCATTTTAGATATTAGATCTCAATCTCTCTTGAATACTGTTTTTGTTTTTATATTCAACTACTAAATTTTCATTCTGAGAATCTAATTAAAAAAAGTGATATTTTAGACTTTAACGAAGTTAAAGTTTCATTTTCGATAGAACTTGAGACAACAAATGATAGCAATTGTGACTAAGTTTGACCAAAGTATCAGATTAAAAGTCATCGTTTCATTTTCTTTCAATTTTCTTTTTAAATATAGATATAGAATTCTGTCTCAAACAATATAGAAGAGTAATTTTCCTTTCCCAAGACAAGTATTCAATACTTGAATTAATTTTTTGAAAGACAATCTAAAATGAATATTGCAATATAGGAATAAATATTTTGACCGATCTCCTCTACCTAATAGATCGAGTGTGAGTGTCAATCTGAGTCTTCGATTCATCAAAAAAGCAAAAAAGAAAATAGGAAAAAAAAAGATATCAGCATCGAAAGCTGTTGCCATAAAAATAGTGTCCCTTAATAGAATCTTTTTCAGTCCATTGAAAACTCTGAAGAATTCTTTTTAATCGAGCAGAATTCAAGGAAATCCTATGAAATCTCAGGTATTTCAAAAAAACTTAAGCGATTCTGAGAGTTCAGACTTTCGTTATTCACTCAATAAGCAATTGAACAACATTGAATTTTTCTTCTCTTCTTCAAAGAGATTTGTGAATTCCATTAATCAGATATTCCACAGTCGTAGTACCTATTTTTTCAGCTTACATGAATGAGTACAAACACGTACTATTTCAGTCTTTGTCTTATTATTCATGAGAGAAGTCTTCGAAGAAGTTTTTTGTGCATCTCTTTGAAATATAGTCGCTATTGACGTTTATGATGTCACTATTGTTAATGTATCAATAATTATATGACTTTCTCACTCATAATCTCAATTCATTTTTCTTCGAATACTTGCTACTACTGTCACTCTTTACCGTTGATTCTGTACAGAATTTGAGATATGAAGAAGCCTAATTAATATCATAATCAAGATTGACAGTAATATTATTCTGATTGATGACAACAATCAGGTTTGACACTTTTTCTGCTTCTTTCGAAAAAATTCCACTTTTCAATCTTTTGTTCGTTTATTTTCTTGCTTTTTCATATGAGAAATTTTATTTCACTTTGATATGATTCATTCTGTACTCTATTCCAGCAAAACAGAACTAATGTTGAAAATCTTTTTTTTTTTACGAAAATGAGACATTTTATCCATGATTTTTGCAATTGAATGTGAGTACACTCAGTAATTACAGAAATACAAATTTGTAGAAATACTTCATGATTGCACGAACAAGCATATGTTATTTAACCATATAGAAGTGCAAAGAATCTACAAAAAAACAGCTTTTTGCACAGTTTTCTAAATTGAAGAGATGACAACTCCCCTGATAACAATATATATGAATATAATAGAAGAGTAGCTTGAAGATAAAACAGAGAATATTGTAAAACGATATTTCTAATAGACATTTATTTAAGTATTACAGCGAATCTGTTTGTTCAATTACTTCTATATTTATTCTATTTAGTGAGCATAAAATATTCATATTTGCCATATGATTTTAACTGCGAGTATAAATAATTATTGTATTGAACAAATTATTGATAAAGAAAAGATCGTTAACAGTTATGTTTGAATTTCTAGGGGAAAAAGTAATGCTAAATGATAAACTACGAAAAAAAAAACACTAAATAAAAGTTAAAATGATCAAACTATTGAATAAACAACACGTTGGTTTTGTCGAAGGGCCAAACATCTTTTCACATCAATAAGTTTGGCCAATTTGAAAGAAAATTGAATAATGGTTATCTAAAAATTAGAATAAATATGACATCAATAGAAGTAAACGACTTACATCCAGCACGCAAACAGCAATTGCAAATGGAAGACTCATCCAAATAATTGATGATGCACCTTTCATATAACCACTCCTATGACGATCATAAGCAAATTTCTCGCTAGTTGAAGGTGATAGACCCCAAAAGAAAGCTATTATAATAGTAATACCAACCATTGCAAGTGATATTATTTCCAGACAAGCAAACTAAAAGTTAGAAGTGACAATACGAAAATTTTATTGAAACAGTATTAATTCAACATGTTGTTTTAGCTTGTTTCAAAATATCTCGAATATTAATCAGTATATCAAAATCTTCGGAACAGCTAAAACTATCAAAAATCATTTTTTGATAGATTTTTAGGGTATCGTTTGGAATTGGTGTCGAAATTCTCATTCGATTATAAGAGCGTTTGTTCTTTTATATATTTGTACTTCGTCAGGTCGCGAACAAAAAGTAAAATCGTTTTTTTTTTGAAGAATTTAGATATTCTCAAAAAAAAATTGTATAGAGATTTTGTAGCCTTATGAGTTGGTTACAAAGTGTGCTGTTTAGTTTTCAAACATACTACTAAAATTTAGAGTTTTTTTTAAAACTAAGATGCATAAGATGGAATTTGATAACTTTTGTTTTGTGACAAATCACTAATGACAGTTTTTTTTCTGAGAACTCTTCTGAACCAAGATCTCGAGCGTTGATTTTTTTCAGAGTATCTAGAGAAGCTTAACATAGATGTCATATTCAAAAATTAACTATATTAAAACTCTTTATCCTGAGATACAACTGTTCTAATTGTACGAAGTCACATTGCTAACGAATGGTTTTGCGCATATATATATATATTTAAAGGATGTCCTATTAAAATAACAATTCCATTTTTATTTTTTTGTATCATTGCCATATTCAAAGTTCGAAAAGACATTCGATATATAGTTTTGAAGAATACCATCTAGGCTATTATTCGACGGAACTTGCCTCCAATTTATATCAATCATAAGATAGTGCCACATTGGTAAAAATATTGAAAACATTTTATTAAAGTCAATATTTACTTCTTTTCTATAAAGAACTATTCATTCAGTATTTTATGAATATCGCTGTTAGTTTTCAATGATTTGACTCGAAGTTTTTTGAAATGATAACTTGTGCAATTCTCTACAAAATCGAAGAAAATCAGCTCTTCAAAAGGACAACGTAAAATGATATAGTACTGCTGATTAGATACAGTTTTTTTGATTATACATTGAAGAGCCACTTTTATTAGATTTAGTAGAGCAATATGCACACTATTTTTTCGAAAAAATTCAAGTCATATCATTCAAAGCAGACAGAGATATCAACAAAATACTGAATGAGTGATTCTTTACAGAAAAAAAAAGTAAAAACTGACTTTGATAAAACTTTTTCAATATTTTTATCAATGCGTTCCTTTCTTGTGATTGATGTAAGTTGAATGCGATTTTCGTTGAATAATAGCTTAAATTTTACTCTTCAAATATATATATATATGTCAAATACTTTTCTACCCTTAATTGTGGCAAATCTACAAAAATAAAAATAAAAATGGACTAGTTATTTATGAAACATCTTTTATATGCATACAAATAATTTTTATTTCAAATTTTTTAGAAAATAAATCTGGATCGATGAAGAAGTGTCACAACATACATTCAAAAATGAGCTGATTCTTTATTACATCTTATTTTCAATCAGATATAACTTATTAACGAATTTTAGTTCTTTTAAATAAGATTTTAGACAACTTTTTGAATAGCATAGTTTCATCCACGAATAATGATCACCGTCTCAATGTCAGACATTCTGAAGTAGATCAGTTAGTTCAACTATTCCACTTAGTTTTAGAAGAAAACATCGAATAGTCTCAATACAGTAAAACAATATTAAAAATCAAACGAAAAATTTATCGTTTTTTCATTCATCTGATATTGTTTCAAACATTTTAATAAGGATTATTTATTTAAAAAAAAAGCAAAAGATAAAACGTACCACTTGTAAACCTATTGCATGATATCGATAAGCGACAAATATACCAAAACCGTAGAGAAGAACTACAATAAGATATTCACCAACTGACACACCACGAGAAGTTTCTTGTATACCATTCCATATTCTATTTTCGGAAGCTGTAGTTAGCATACCAACAACAGAAAGAGCCTAAAAGATAAAATATGTAATATAAATTAAAAAGAAATTCTTCGAATTTTTCTGAATCAAAGCTGAAAATTTTTCTAACAAGGGAACGTCTCCAAGTGATGACCCGAGGTTTCAACTGATATTGCGTGGGTTTGCTACGCCAAATACCCTGATGTCCACTATGAAACTATTATCAGATGATGCCGATCCAATAAAAAGTTGGAGTCAAGACATTATTTTTACTATTTGATGCATATATACAACTACATGCTGTTTCTAGAGTATTGTATTTGTTTTTAGAAATATTGTCTGATGGCAGACACAGCAGACATATATGAAGTAAGAGTCTTTCCTATTAGTACTATAGTATGAAATCACTCTATACGTGTATAAAAGAGAGCCATTTTTAATGCAATAAACTAAAGAATTTAGATTCAATGTTTATGATCGTCAATGAAGAAATGATTGAAACAAAGTACACTATCACAATAACTCCAAGAAATAAAAGAATAGATGGAATATATATATATAGTGAAAAAGTATTGTGATTACAACTTTTTATTGGATCAGTCTTAACCGATACTAGTTTCATACTTGACATCAGAGACTCAGCGTAGCAAACCCACGCAGTTTCAGCTGAAATCTCAGGTCATCATTTGAGGAATTTTCCTTGTAAGAGTATAAATATTTTTCGAGAGAGACTTACAGATTTAGTCAAATTATCTTTTGATTAGTCTGAAGAAAGTTGATTTTAATCTTCACTTTGGCACATATAGATCATATTGTAACAATTGAAACAAATCTCTTTTGTTATCTTACATTATGTTAGATTTCGATTCGAAAATATTTCTCTTTTCAGCTTATGAAAACATTTATCACATGTTTTCGAAGAAAATAGTGACTGTAAGTTTGACGTCGAAGTTTTCCGGTTCTCCCTCGCTTATAATTACAGACATTATCATCCACTATTAAAGGCTCTGAACGATTTTAATAGCAAGACTCAAAAAGTTCTAGAACATTCCGGAATCTTCCGCAAAATTTGAGTGGCCTAAATACGTTTTTTAATGTTTTAAGTAATGTAGTTTCTGATTTTTGGACGTATAAAAATTTACATTCAAAATATCAACAATGATGAGTAGTGATATATATATATATATTAGTTTTCTTCATTTCTTCTATGATCAACATCAGAAGCATGAATTGATCAAGTTATATTTTTTTGAATATAATTAACAGCAGTCTTTTTGAACTAATCAACATATTTAATAGTTCGTTAAGATCTGTTGTAGATATAATGAATATTTACAAGAGTCTTATTTGCCATATAATTTAATGCTTTTGATAATAGCAATTTTAAATTATGAAAAGCGAAATATGAAAATAAAAAATAATGAACGAATAACAATATTGCACACAATAAATATGACATCCGTAGTAAAAAAAAAGAATAGAACATTCCTGTTTGAAGTATAGAAATAAAGAAAGACAGCATTTGCTACATAGTTACTCTTAACATTCTTTTAACAAAAACTTAAGCAGAAAAATAATTTGTTTTCAAAAATTTATTCAAAAACGCTTGAAACTGTCTGCTTTTAATATTGAGAGAAAAATAATCTCGAACTTTTTATCAAAGTCTAAATGTATCTGATTAGTTTATTTATCTGTAACTATAAAAATCTAGTTTTTCTTGTTCATATAAGACACGTTATCTAATTACTATAGATTTCGTTGAATCATAATCAAAATAAAAATAAAAACTTACAAATAAGACACCAAGTATGATTAAAAGAATTTTGCGAGTTCGTTGTATTTGAGGATCTTCAGTCAGTGACAATGATTGAAGAGCAGGTAAATCAGGACCATCTGTGATAAGTACTTTCTCAGTTCTTTCTTCGAATTGCATAATAATGATGTCTACTTTAGTCTTTAAAATAAAAGCAGAAGAATAATCAGGTAAATTCTCTATCTATGCAACCAGAAACATAAAATTATTCCATTAGAACAATTCGTATTTTTCTGCCTTTTAATTCATCGTGCACACTCAGAAATGTTCGCAAGTTGGCTGTTTAAGCTACAACCTTTTTCTTACATGTTAAAATCATTATAAAAGTTCGACAACAAAAATGCAATTTTATGAGAGGATGATTTGGCCTCGCAGCTTTATAAGTTTTCTGTAATTCGCTGATTTTACCAAAAACTTGAAAGATTATTTTGACCGGGTTCGGAGCTTCAGCTCTATCTATTGGAAGATTTGAAAAAATTATAGAAAATCGTCGGGTTTCCACTATTTTTATTTCATGTGCATAATAATGTCAAAATAATTCGTACGGACAATGTTGTGCAGTATAGATATTTGTTCTGAAGTGATCATCGTTGTTTCGGAATATGATGAGTGCTGTGCTGTGTTCTATAGTAGATATCTATTCTGATCAAATGATTATAAAGTTGAGCGGATCTTCCAAGAAACACACCGCAAAATGTTCGTGTACTATCGACTTCTGTCGAGTTCGAATGTAGAGATCGATAAGTTTCCAGGTGTGTCAGTGTGTTTCCTATATATTCCATAGGGATTTGAGCTAGTTTTTATCGATTTCTAATCGTGGAACAGTGTATGAAAATCGCTGTTTTTGATACGATGGGTTTTAGGTCGGATTCCTGGTGAAAGATTATCAGATCTTGCTGAAAACACGCCGAAAATTCAGCGGATACGAGTGCAATTAATGATTTCAGTACTCATAAATCGTTAGCTCAAGTCTTCATCTCTTTACCTTTCGCCTAAAATGCAGATTTTATAGGAGTTAGACATAGGGGTGAGAAAGTTATTGTTATTGTTATTAATAACAATAAAATTAACTTTTTGATTCAAAACTATCAATGAAACAATTCTAAGCATAGTTTGTACGAGCGTCAAAAGATCACTTTAGTATACAGTGTCTTTTCTTACCTTTTGATATAAGAATTTGCGGTAAATATTTTGAGTAATTTCAAAATAACATATTTTGTTATTGTTATTGTTATTGTTATTGTTATTGTTATTGTTATTTAGCAATAACAATAACAAAATATGTTATTTTGAAATTTCTCAAAATATTCACCAGAAGTTCTTATGTCAAATGGTAAGAAAAGACACTGTATTATTAAAGTGATTTTTTTGACGCTAGTACAAACTATGCTTAGAATTGTTTCATTGATTGTTTTGAATCAAAAAGTTAATTTTATTGTTATTAATAACAATAACAATAACAATAACTTTCTCACCCCTAGTTAGACAACAGAAATGTTATGTAGATATACCCTACAATGAATGTTTATCATCGATGTCACTCACTCTGAAACTGGTCGAATCGACATGCATTTATGATAGATAGGGATCCTGTTTCTTGTCGATATTATAAGTGATACAAAGAAATGCCCTTTCACTGATTCAACACATAATTATCTAATACTTTATTCCAGCTATTAACAATAGAGATTGATAATTTAGTGAAAACTTAACAAATCCATCATAATTCTTCTGATATATTCATTTACAGTTGAATATTATATTCTGAATTTTTTAGAAATCAATTTTATACTCAAAAGAAACGGCATAGTGATCACCATTAGATATATAACGTGATATCTCATGAAAACTTCATAAATCCTTAATGAACCAAACATAATTTTTCTTTTCTCGAATAATAACGTTCACAAGAAGTATGATTCCTGTCTATTAGAGCTAAATATTGATTCTAGTAACGCCAGTGAACGTGATATTGATGATCAACATTCTTCGTAAAATATATTCATACAAAACTCGAGCTGTCTAACTCCTTTCGTAACTTTTAAGAAAATATATTCTAGTTTTATTTTATCGTCAAAATACTAAGAAAAAGTTTCGTTGTATCTTGATTATTAACATTGACATGGCAACAAATGTGTTCTATAGATCAATATCAATATCCATGAACCTTCCACACTCTACCACTGCTGATTTTTCTCTAGTCCAAGGTTATCAGGCAAACCTTATTTATTAGTAAACAAAGTATCGTACTTACAACTAAAATATCGAGATACAATCATGGTAGTCCTGGATTATTAATCCTAAGTGACATGTTACTTTATTGGATTGTATCAATATATTTGTTTTGACTCAAACGTTCGAATACAAAGAAAAAATGCATTTTACAAAAAAAATTCTAAATATAGAAGAGCACTTTATATAAATTTCTAGCAAATGAATTAATGAGCTATTAAAATTAATCATTTGTTGCTAGTTTATATAGTCATCATTGATTCTTTTTACATTTTAAATGTTTTATATATCACTGCAATAACAAAAACTAGATGGAAATCAGGATATTTTTATAGAATCAACAAAAACAAAAAGGGAAAAAAACAAGAGAAGTAAGAGAGTGTCGTTTTCTTTTATCTGTATATATTGAAGTATTTATTCACTATTTAATGTACAATAGTAGTACTATCTTAACTTTCCAATAAAAGTTTAGAAAATTCGTGGAACTGATCATATATATCTCTGAAAAGAAGAATTGCAGTACATCTTTTTGACTATATTATTAATATAAAAACATATCTATAACAAAATAAATACATATTCTGAAAGCACTTGGAGTTTTCTATCATTCTGTATGTTTATAATTTAGTTTGTATTTATGTACTAGAAAATAAATCGACTACAATGAAAGCACTCTCATCATCAGATTCACAAGGACACGATTTTGTTATTGTCATAACAATTAGTTTATTTTAATTTTTCATCACTATAAAAATACTTTTAAAAAAATGTGTTATATATTCTGATAGCCCTAGATATTGTCTTGCATTAATCTATTACAAAAATAATTTGAATATAATGAAGACGTTCTCAATTGATAAGTATATAAATTTACTGGTTCTTATGATTTTTGAAATGATAATTACTATAGAAATAAATTTTTAGAAAATTAATCCTAGATTATGATAGAGCTTTAAATTCTCCATCATTCTACGTACTTTTTATTTTGTCTTGCGTTTACATTCTAAAAAATAATTCGGGTAATATGTAAACATCCCTTTTGATAAACCCTAAACAATTGAATCTTCTCGTGACAGTGTCCTTTTTTATTTCTAATTTTTCACAAATATAGACAAACGTTTTTGAACAAATAATTATATTAGTTAGAAAAATCGAGTCGTTTTACGGTTTGTCAAGGAACATCCTTGTAATAATATTCAACTTACTCTATAATACATAGATGAATGATAAAACAATAACACATAGAACAATAGAGAATTTAAAGCTCTATCAGAATATATAATTAATTTTTCTAAAAATTTATTTCTATAGTAATTATCATTTCAAAAATCATAAGAATCAGTAAATTTTTATACTTGTCAATTGATGGTATTGGTTCTATAGTGATAAAAATTTAAAATAATCTTATTGTTATGACAATAACAAAATTTGTGTCCTTGTGAATCTGATGATGAGAGTGCTTTCATTGCAGTCGATTTATTTTCTAGTACATAAGTATAAACTAATACATAAATATACAAGAATGATAGAAAACTCCAAGTGCTTTCAGAATATGTATTTATTTTGTTACAGATATGTTTTTATATTGATAATATATTAAAAAATGCCTTCAGCAATTACATTTCTGTCTAGAGGTATATATGACTCTCTCTATTTTTGTGGTTTCAGTGAATATATAATCAATGAATATTCTTGTTTTTGATATGGTATACAATTATTTAGATGGCAATAGAAGTTTAACTGAACAAAGCAAGAGAAAACATCAAAATCATTTAGCATTTTTGCTTTCAAAATAAGATTCTCTGACTGAATTCACCTACTTTTTATTGAGAATGTCACTAAAAGATAAATGAATAAAAATATGATATGAATAGAAACCACAAAAAAAGAAAAAATTATTCAAGCGCAAATCAAAAGCGACGATTTATGTATTATGTGTATAAAATGACAAGGATATGTGTCGATTAATGAAGGATACAATGAATGAATACATCCCCTATCGATCGTTTTTTCTCTTGATATTTTAAAAAGAAAAAAAAATCTAAAGAACATTTATGCTATTAGTGAACACCATTACTAACGAAAATATATTGGTATTTTGTTAAGTTAGATCAACATAAACTGTATATATACATACGCTACATACAAAAATAGTATATTGCTTATTCGAGTTTGTCTGAGACAATAGGATAACCTTCATTTCTTTTTTTACTTTCGTCATCAAAACATTATTTGACAGGTGTTGAGAATATGTATATGATCATTAAATATATCATGTGATATCTTTTCTAATGAGATTCTTTAGAAAATTAAGACAAACGGTGAACTAATATTACACTTTGAGATCATTTGATGGCTCCTATTCTAAGATACAGCTGTGAGATAAAAGAATACCTTCACGTCGTACATATATAACGGCGAATATCGATATTCGTATTCAAAAATGAGCGTAATCGACTAATGAAACACTTTAACAATAAGCTATTCTCATTAAAACCCGTCTCTAAGGAAAGATTCAAGTCTAAATTCGAAACTCACCTTTTCTGATGTGTCTGAAGGTAACTACAGCATTCGGCTAAAAAACATGGTAAAAATGCAGTATCTCGGCAGTATAAAATTGTTAGCTTAAATTAACTTATATGCATCGCTTAAAATCGCTTACAGTTGCATATTTACGAGAGGATCCATCAAAAGGCCACTCAAACTTACATAGGACTGATTATTATTAAGTCTTTTTCGATTTTTCCAGCTTCAATAAGAGATCGTGTCGTAAAATTTTTGAGTCAAAAATATTAGAAGATTACATTTTCTACATTTTGATTGTATTTTGAAATTTTTTTTTCCTCAATCCATTGCTTTGCGTCAATGAAGATCTCAAAAGATGTACAAAAGAATTGTCTACAAAACGAGCTATATCCGTAGTCATTACAATAAATATTCAGTCATAGAGCGAGCTTCCGCAAAGTAGAAAATATCTGAACGAAGAATGGAAAATAATCACAAGTCAATAGTGAATGCTGTAACGAGTAAATCATGCAGAAAGTGCTGATTGCAACGAAGTCTCTATCACAAGAAAACTGAGTTAAATCAAGGTGAGACAAGTGATATATTCTATGTTCTAATAGTAATGAGTATATGTCGATAGGGGTCTACAACATATGCGATCAAAGATTAAGATGCATTGTAAAAGTTAAATATGAGAAAATTCACTGTACTTCTAAGTGATATTGATAAGAAGCACTCCATAGCGCTTGTACAACAATTATTATAAACTCCTTTACGCGACGTATTAAAATGAAATGACTCTCAGCAGATTGCAACGATAAATTTAAAGTACATTACAGCAGATCATTTAAATGTAAGCTTTTCAAAGCCTCTTAGAAATAACTTACAATGGCAAAACTTTTCACATGGTACGTCTTTAGGTAAATTTTGTGGTAACATGATTTATTATTTATTTGCATATCGAAATCAATTTCTTTTTCTAATCATCAAAGTTACAACAAAATGTTTTATTTTCTCAAATAAGAAAGAACAAAAAATAGAAGCAATATTTTAGAGAAAATCATAATAGAAGTGCCGACGGTCGAAATCGTTGAACAAATTCAAATATTAATCTTGGTATCCAATGAAAACCAACTTTAGACGATGTTCCAAATGGATCATTGATCATTAAGAATCGATTAATATAATAAGCCATTTCAATGGTGACATATAAAAATGTGCAATAGCATCCTGACTCTTTACATTAGAGTAGCAACTTGTTAGAATACCATTCATAAATAATACATCTAAAGACAATAATAGATTTAATCTATATCTGATGACAATTTACCTTAACTAGTAAAAGTTGCATAGTATCCTGTTTTAATATATTGAGTTGTAACATACGTTCTGAGAATTTTTTTCTGTTCAACAAAAAATTTAATTTGCAACAAAGATATACATTTCAATTAACAATATAATCGCCCTTTGTTTCAACAAGCTTCGTCCATTTTGTCGGCAATTGTTCAATGCCACGTTTATAGAAACTAGCCGGTTGTGATTCAAAAAAGGAGGTGAGGTCGCATTTGATCTCATGGAAGCCTTCGTATTGTTTGTCATACAAATGATTTCGAAGAAATCGAAACAAATGACAGTGCATGCTCAAGAATTCCCCATCCCAATCGTCTAATTTTATTTTGAGTCAACTTTGCAACATGTAGTCTACCATTACCATGTAGGAGAATGACCTTATTCCGACTTGCAAGGATGGGTTACTTTTGAAGTAGAGTTTCATGCAAGCGCTGCAATCGTTGAGAGTAAACGTCAAGGATAACCGTTTGATTGGTATCTAAGAGCTCGAGATAGATGATACCTTCTAGATCACACCAGACGGACAACATTATCTTCTTTGAGTGTAAATCTGCTTTTACGTCAGGTAATGTTTTCTGGCCAGAATTGAGCCACTGATTTCTACGACGAAAGTTGATGTAGAAGATCCATTTTTCATCTCCAGTAACGACTCATTCCAAAAATGGGGTGTGGGTGTGTGGATATTCTATTTTCTTACAACGCCCACACACACACCCTGCTTTGTTTCCGCTTGAATTTATTTTTAGCAAACTAGTACAGTAATGATATGTTGAAAAATACGGAATCTAATTATTTTTTTCCAGGAAGAAATATTCCTTAAAGATTCGAACTAAATAGCAAATAGAAATTCAGTAGATCAAAATTTTCGTAAAACTTTGTTTCTTATATTGCGTTCAATGCACCACAAATAGTTCTAGGAAACGGCATATACGATATCTTGGTTTAAGATAGACCGACAAATGCAAAAAAGTACTTTTTGTTACAATAATAGAAATAAATAATAAATGATATTATATTTTATTTCTTACTAATATTATCTTTCACATAAAAAATTACTTTAAATCGATAAATCTTAATTGCAATAAATAACTTTATGCCACATAGAATTATCAGTGAGTGAACGTACAGCACCTGCTCTATAACCACCAATATTTTGATCCAATAACCAACTAAGACGTAGAGGACTATTCAAATCTTCATTATCAGCTGAAGTTTGTCGAATCGTAGCAAGTGGAGAAAATCCAAAAGATTT